CAAGCGCGAGGGAAAAAGTTGTTCATTCGTGCAACGTATTCAGGTTTTAGAACTCAGTGTAAAAAAAAAAAAAAAAGAAACGAGGCAAAAGAAACAAAGTTGATGTTTTATCGTGTAAAAAAGAAAGAAAAAAAAAAGAAACAAAAGAAATGCCATTATAACTAACGAGCAAGTACAAATTATCGAGGGAAAAAAAAAAAAAAGAAATGATGAAACAAATTAATGTCTACGTCTAATTCTTAGGTTCCGTAGTGATGGGGAAATTAACGAAATGATTGCAGGAAAATTATTATAGCGGGACGCGCGCGAAAGAGAGAGAGAGAGAAAGAAAGAGATAGCATATGTAAATTGCACCGCGCGTCTTTTTTTCCGGGATTTTAGTGGCGGTAGCGCGAGAATAAAGAAGAAGAGGAAACAAAAACGGTGTGGGACGAAAACGAGTGTGGAAGGGAGAGAGACGAGAGAATTAAAAGGGACGAGAGAGAAATAAAGTTTTCCAAAACATATCTTCGAAACGAGAAGTATACCGTGAACGTGAGAAACACGATTTTTTAGATTTAGGTGTCTTCCGTGGATGGAAGTTTTTAAAAAGATAATTACGTATACATATTTCGTAGTGGTAAAAAAAGAAAAAAGAAAAAAAAAAAGAAGAGAAGAGTAGCCGGTCAAAGCATAATGTGGAGAGAAAAACACGTTGCTTTCGCTTTCGGGACGATGGCGACGGGAGTTCACAAAACTGGGGCGTATTTGCTTTCCGAAAATTTCTTTTCGACTCGGGAGAAGCTGAATGATGTGTAATTCGTTAGTGAAAATTATCCTAGTCATTTTTGGAAACTTTTTATAATTCTGTGATATATGAATATATATATCGAACGCGAACTTAGAGCATCAAGAGTTTTGTATTTGGCGATACAAGGAGGAAAAAAAAAAAAGAGAAAAAAAGAGAAAAGAGAAAAAAAAGAAAAAAGGAGAAACGAAGACAGGGGAAGGGAGAGGGAATTTATATAACGTTCCACATTATGATTGCCGGCGTGCGTGCAGATTGCATATGTACTACATGATTGGGTTAACTGATATCGAGAAATTCTGTGATGTCCTTCAGTTCGGTATACTAGATCGAGAAAAATTTTAGAGATATATGGTGAAAAACAAAAAAAAGTATACGGAATTAGGTCGATGTTCGGTGTAAGTTAATATTTGTAAAGGGGTAGAGAAAGGGAGGAAAGCCGAGACATTGAGACATGCCGAGAGAAGATTAGAGTCGAATGCTGTCGGGACTCTCGCGATTTAGGCGAGCGCTGATCAAGACGACAAAATAGAAAAGAAATAACTGATGCCGCATCGTTGGAAAATTTAACGGGAAAATCGTGTAGAAAAAAAAGAAAAAAAAGAAAAAAAGCGTCGAGCTTATTGGCTCGGAGTGGAGAAATCGGTACGATACCAAAGTGGATTTGACTGCTATTGCGATTAATTTTAATATCTGTTTCTTTCTTTTTTTTTTTTTAAAGCGAGACCAAAGGATTTTTTTTTTTCTTTTAAATGGGTTTTCCCGACGATGCAGCGCGAAATCATGCGAGATCAGCTGTCGTCACGAATCGAGGAGAAACGAAACGCAGCGTTTTGGGTATTTAACATATCTCTTCAGGGTACTCGACCCACCTTGTACGCTGACACGGTGTTGAATCGAAAAAAATCTTAAAAAAATAGAGAAAAAATTACAAAAAAAAAAGATAAGAAAGGAAATAAGTATATCGTACATGTACACACACACACACATACATACATACACACACACAAATCTATTCCAATGTGCCAACGTCTTCGAACTAAAGAAAATAAAAAAAGAAAAAAACGAAAAAAAAAATACAAGAAACTTTAGGTCTTCTACTATTTACACGAGAAACGAATAAAGGATTAAAAAAAAAAAAAACATGATAGTAGTTAGCCGCGCGCGTCGCATCTTCTTATCGAGAAAACGAATATTATCAACATTTATTAACTACCACTAATCGTTTTAGGATTTAACGCGAAATATTATACGAAATACCTATGGAAGAACTTTTTCGATCTTTAATGCATGGATTTTTCGTCTCGTATTTAAGGAAAAATAATAATTAAACAAAAATAAAAAAAAAAGGAAGGATAAATGGAACATAAGGAGTTCTACATGGAGAAAAAGAAACGAGAGCAAGAGTGGGAGAAGAAGACGGTGAAATAGAAGAGAAAGAGAGTGAGAAAATGGATGTGAAAATGAAGAACGAAAGTGAACACAGCGAGATTTTGTGTGTGTGTGTGTGTGTGTGTGTGTGTGTGTGTGTGTGTGTATTTGAGAGAGAAAGGTAAGATACAAAATATTTTAAACTATCTATTTTTATTTGCATTCTAATATCTCGTGCGTGTAAATATTATATTATATCGATATAAGCGAAACGTGTACCTCTGACGTGAGTTGCAGAGGAAAGAAAAAAAGGGATATTTGTAAATGGTACCGGCATAGGCATTAATATCATTATTGGCAATGGACTGCAATCGTGTGAACCGAACGTTGGCTAAAAGGCTTTGCGTCCCTGCGCGGACGGATACGTGGTTATACATATATATCATTGTCTCGAGGAAGGAAAAGAAAAGGAAAGAGAGGAAAAGGAAAAAAGAGAGAAACGCTGTTTGTATCACGTACTTCCTTTTTTCTTGTCGACCGTGAATCGCGCAACGACGAAAACGCAGAAAGTGAAAAAAAAAGAAAAAAAGGAACAGCACACAACCGACTTGTCTTCTGCAGAATTTTTATACTGTGCAAACCCATACACCGAAATAGTAACCGGAATTAATTGTAAAGGAAAATTCGCGGAACTCGCGCGTGACGAGCACGTATCAAGTGCCGCGCCAAAATTCCGCGAATTTTCCGAAACCACCACCAAACCACACACACTGACACAGATACACACGTAGATTCTAGCTTCGAGACCGTCTAGATCCGATTGAACTTCACTACGCAAACGTTTCGCAGCAGAAGCTTTTTCTTTTTTCTCTTTTTTTTTTTTTTTTTCAATTAGACGTTCTTAGTATCGGAGCCCAGCAGCGGCTGAAACGCGCTCGAACTATAATTTCCTGGCGCTATGACTTTGTTACTTTGAGACACGCGAATTTACTTTTTTCGAGAAGGCTGATTTTGTATAATTTTTGTTCTTTTTTTTAACGTTTAAATTAAGAGAGAGACTCAAATTTATTTTTACTGATTTCCAGAAGTTTTTTCTCTCTCTCTTTTTTTTTGTGTGTGTAATTCCCTGTCGTTCAGGGAGAAATCGACTGATTAGACTGTCTATCTTTTTTTTTTTCTTTTTTGTTCTTTCGATTGGTTTGAACTTTTTCTTGATCATGTGATATTGTCTTACCAAAGAGCATCGGGAAAATTGTGAAAACTTCTCGGACTTTCGATCGATATCCACCTCGAGTGATATTTCAATCAACGATGAAATGCAATTTTATCGCTTCGTGATCGATGTTTCATCGACGCGCTTGTACATTAACGATCTCGTGCAATTCTTCCCTTAAAGATAAAAAGAAAAGTAAACGATAGTTTCGAGGGTCCGGGGTATCGCGAGAGTTCGAGAAAGCGTCGCGACTTATTATTGTTCGATTTCGATTTGAGGGAGAAAAAAAGAGACGAAATTTTTGTACGATTTTCAAAAAAGGGGATGAAAAGCGAAAGAAAAACTACGAAAAGGAGTAAAGAAAAAAGTACGAAAGATTCTATCTTTGCGATCGAAGATGAAACGATGAGAAGGAGAACGATGTGTTGCTTAGGGAGTGTATGAGTGGAGAAAGAGAGGAAAGAGGAAACGAGCGAGGGGAAAGAATGAAACAAACGTCGAGCATAGGAGAAAGACTACTTAGATTTATTTTTATTATGTCTTCAAAAAGACTTTAAATATAATATTTATATTGTGCCATAATTAATATTAAACGAAAGGAAAGAACCTTAAGTATAAATTAATTGTTACGAAAGTTTTTAAATTTATTGGAAGGGAAAAATTGCAAAAAGAGAAAACATAGGAAGAAGAAGAAGAAAAAAAAAAGGAACGAGAAATGAAATAAGAGGACGAAGGGGGGGGGGGAGGGGAGAAAGAAAATGGGGGATGTCTCTACTTGTCTATCGATAATTAATTGTAACGATAGTTATTAAGAGACGAAATTAACACGTCATTTTTAAGTGAATACTGCATTTACAAGAGAAGCTAGGATTACAAAGGAATAACAAACAACGGTTCATCACAGCTCCGCTCATCAATGTAACATTAAACACGATCCGTGTAGCGCGTGCGCCCTTTTTGTCATTCCTGTCACGAGAAACACACACACGCACACACACATAGAGAAGACGCATATATACATAGAAAAGCAGAATAAGCTTAAAAAAAAAAAAAAAAAAAAAAAAAAAAAAAAAAAAAAAAAAAAAAATAAGAGAGAAGCGAGAAAGGAAGGAAAAACGTAGAGAAAAGCTGTACAATTCTCGCGTAAGAAGCGACGCGTGTCACGTTCGTTTCGCGAAACGCTTTTCAACCCTTTCGAGATATGCGACCGAGCGTCGTCGACACGTTTCTTGCCGATATTTTTCTGGGTTTTATTTATTTAGAAGTTCTTTCTTCATCAACCGTCCCGGACGTGAAAGCACGACGAAAGAAACACGATCGATGACGCGCGAGGTCCACGGGGGGTTATTGAGCGAAAAGGACGAAACGTACGCGATTCGTGCGAAAGGGAAATGGCGATATCCCGAAGGGGGATGTGACGTATCGAAGGAACGAGCAGAAGTTCCCTCGACGAGAGACGAAGGTGCATGCACGTCGTCTGCGTGAATGTCAGAAACGCGAGAAGGCGTAGAAAGGAAATTTCTGACAGAAAATCCCGTCTGCGTTGGCGGCGGTGGATAGAAACTCTCTGCTCGTTGTTGAGAGTTCTGCTCGTTTCTTTTTACTAACGCTGCAACTACCAGCGGACAGGGTGGGAAGTATTGCGCCAGAGAGAGAGAGAGAGAGAGAGAGAGAGAGAGAGAGAGAGAAGTGTATTGTATAATTAAAAAACGCAAGTTTTTATCTACGCATTTCTGGAAAGATCGCGTCGAAGAAATAAAAGTGTAAAGAGTGGCAAGAAGATAATGTAGCAAAGAACGTGAGCTTCCGTTTGCACTCGAAGAGAGTCACAAAACTTGAAGTGAAACGGAAAACGCAAAGAACGGAGAAAAGATTTCGGGATAACGCAATAAACGACGCAAATTATTTTATTTAGATACTTTGCTCAGAGAAATCGTTCGAAAAGTTGTGACGGACTCTCGTCTCGGAGAAACGAAAACGCAAAGAGTTGAAGAGAATTCTCTGTTGAATTTAACAAAAAAAAAATCGTTCGAGATATAAATTCTACAAAAATTTCGACGAAAATGTTGCGAATTTCGACACATTCTGGTAGTTTCAGCGTTAAAGGCGCCGTACGTCAGCGAATCGAAAACCGCATCGAATTCATTTCGACTCTACATATCGCCCTCGGTGAGCGTACTCTCACATAGAGACGCGGATAGATCCTCGTGTCACTTCGATATCATCGGTAAGCCGCATTTTACGTTTACTCCTCCGTGTTATTGTCGCGTGAATTCTGTCTGTTCGACGTCTTTTGCCTGTTCAACGTTATCAGTGATGTTTATTATCGGTATGACTACCGCGAAAAGCATTAAAGTGGGATAGATAAAAAAAAAAAAAAAGAAATCGATCGATTACCAGGGAATAGTTCAATCATTAGTTAGCTTGCGAAGAGAATAAAGAAGAAAAAGAGAGAGAGAGTGAGGGAGAGAAAGTGAGAGAGAAAGAAACAAGAAAACGATATGTATGATATAATATTTGACGAGGAGTCGATGGCACGTTATGTTAACTTTTTATGTACATAAATATATATATGCAGATATGTACGTATACATACATAACACGCATAAAAAGAAAATATTATATAGGCCTATTTTGTAAGGTTTCTCCTTGGTTTTATTTTTTATGTTATAATCTTTTTCTTCTTTCCGATTTGTTACAGCGATTTTATTTCTTTTGCCGAGAGTGATTGTTTAAACCGCGTTAAGGAGAACTTACTGGATACTTATTATTATTATTATTATTAATTATTATTGTCATTATCACAATTATTGCTATTATTATTATTATTATTATTATTATTATTATTATTATTATTATTATTATTATTATTATTATTATTATTATACTCATGATTATTGCTATTATTATTATTATTACTCTTGCAGTTATTGTAATAATAATTCTTAGCACTAGACTTATTATTTTTTTTATTATTCGATTACGATCGTTCAAGTTTCGTTTTCTCTTTCTTTCTTTCTTCCTTTCTTTTTTCTTTTTGTTTTTTTACGGTCGATCACGATGTGCGCGCTTTCAGATTTGTTGCGAATCGCCTGTACATCGTGACAACAACGCAATTGTTGTTTTCTCGCGCTTTTTACTTTCTTTCTTTTCCTTTCTTTTTTCTTTTTTTTTTCGTTTTTCTTTGCTTTTTTTCTTTGTCACGAATCACGAAGCGTCGATGGTTTCCATCCGTTTGTAAAGTTAATTTTAGTCCTGTAATTTACAAAATACGAAGCACAAATTATTAAGAGATAGACCGGGTCGTCGAGCGCAAAAGGATCCACGTGTTGCGAGCGTCTACATAGAGAAAGAGAAAGTTCGTATCTTCTCTTTCATTTTGGGAAGGAATCACTATCGCGGTCGGGATTATCGCGCCAGACTATCGTCTCAAAGCGAACATTCGACTCACCGTTCACGATTGGCCACACTTATCGTTGGACTGCGAATTTTTACACCAAATTCACGCCCTCGCCAAAAACGATTCTGAAACGGTCGGAAAACTTTCGAGGAATTTCGTTTTACCACATCACATTGCTGGACATTTCACGCGTGTGTATCTCTCACGCATAAAAATCCGCAGTCCGATAATCGTATATTCTCATCGTGATGAATGCCACATTATTCGCCTTATGCTCGTTTTTTAATCTGTCATTTCAACTTCCGTCGTCTTTCACTGAGAGCTCATGGTTCCAGAGAAAAAGAAAAATTAACCAAAAAAAAAGAAAAAGAAAAAAAATGAAATATAAGAAATGTAGAGAGAGAGAGAGAGAAAGCGCGAGAGAGTGAGAGTGAGAGAGTGAGAGAGAGTGAAAGGAAGCAGTAACAGGGCGATAGAGATCATTACGGAAGGCAAAGTAAAATAAAATAAAATAAAATAAAAAATAAAATAAGGGACAAAAAAAAAAATGATTCGCGACGTTGTGGAATCTTTCGTGGACAATCACGGCCCGACTATAATTGTAATTGTAAAACAAAGTGCAACACGCTGCCTTGCTGAACAGTACAAGTACAAAACGAATACAAATACATAAAACATGTCTTCGATTTAATGGATGGAAATACGATTCCGGTAGTTAAGATATCAAAAAAAAAAAAAAAAGAGTACGAGAGAAAAAAAAGGAGAAGAAAAAAAATGATTTAAATAAGTAAATAAATAAATAGGGGGAGAAGAAAGAGAGGATGACGAAGGGGAATGAACAAAGCGTTTTAATCGTAGGGAAATGGGAAAGAGAAAAAACGAGCCTCCGTTGTATGTAAGCAACGCCGCTGTTCGTCGAAGCGTGTTATAGGACGAGAGAAATGCGACACGGCGTGCGTTCGTTCAGAAATACCTCAGTTGCCGTGGCCTCAGACACACACACACACAAACACACATACACATACATATATACACACACACAAAAAGAAAAGAAAAGAAAAACGAAAAAGAAAAACGCGCGTAACCGTTCGTTTCGATCACGCGTCTTATCTATATTATGTCCGTCGTTGTATCGATCGCTAAGAGAGGCTTCCTTGTAAATTTTTTGTACGTACAATTTTCAACGCCGAACGAAACGAACCTGGAACAGGAACAGGAACAGGAACAATTCGCTCTGTGTAATCCATTCGCGTGTCTTTCCTTTCCTTTCGTTTCTCGTTCCGCTTTTTGTGAACAAAGAAAAAGAGAGAGAGAGAGAGAGAGAGAGAGAGAGAGAGAGAGAGAAAGAAAGAAAGAAAGAAAGAAACAAAACCGAACGAGGAAGGACGAAAAGTAGAAAAGAGAGACGTTGTTCGCCAATGATAGTAGATCGGTGCGTTTGTATTAAACGAACGAACGTCAGTCCGTTTTATATTTCGACGAAATATTCGCTGTCGTTTAGTGTAAGTAGCAGTTGAATGTTCGCGTAGTCATCGTTCGCTCTTTCACTTACACTTTCACTCAAAAGTCTTAGGCAATCGTTCGCAATTTTTAACAACACTTTGATATTTCACGTAGACTACGAATTTCCGATTGTACAGATTTCTTGGTAAGATTGTTAATATACATCAGCAATGTACACTTTCTTCGTCGTGTAAGATTGATTCGAATTAAATGAACTGTTACAACATGTAGTTCGTCCATCATTTTCTTCTTCTCGGTTATTCGAGCAGACTGTTCGTGACTGTTATCCTAAGACTTTTGAGCCCTTTCGTTTTCAAAGAGACTTTCAACTTTCCTGCGGATTTTTGTACATTAATTTCGTAATTTCTGGAAAGAGATTGCACTTGTTAAACATTCTAAGTGCAATACTTCGTGTATTGCGTACATTCGATGCATTTTTAATAAATATCCCATAAATGCATAAAAATCCGCAGTCTAGTTACATTTGTTCATACAATGATCGATAAAAATCGCGAATAATTCACAAACGAATTTTTTTCGAAACAGAAGAAGAACAAGCGTTCTTTCGCTCGGTCTGAACGCACCGCCATAATAATCTTTGATAGTTCGTCGGTTCGAAGCAAGACACTGCCAAACAAACAAAAAAAAAAAAAAAAAATTTACATAAAGCCTCGAATAAAGTTACATACGTGGTATAGTCGAGACACGAGAGTCACGGAAATGGAAACGTTCCGCGTCTGAGGCCAGGCAATAACAGATTCTCATCTAAGATACAATAGTGTTGTACTTACTTGTCTTCTATTTTGTCACTACATTGTCTGGGTATTAATGCGAGCAGGGTGACGCGCGTCGTTCCACATTCGATCAGGTCGCTGGTCGATAAAAAGATGTCCAAATAAAAAGATGTAGAATTCATAGAAACGAGTGACGAGATCCGCGAAATCGTTGTGCAAAAGAACGCGAAACGCAACAAACGGAAAATCGATAAGCGCGTGTGGGAACGTCGCGCGTTTGCCCGCGAGCGTGCAACAGTCGCCGTATTATTATATTTTACAGAAAATGCAAAGTATAGATATATAAATAAATGAAATGAAATGAATAAATGAAAAAAAAAAATATATATATATATTGTTCCGTTATCGCCGTTATACCATCCGTGTAACATATACATTGCGAGTAAATTTTTGCAGTTTATTAAGTCGACGAGCAAAGATTCGAAAAGAGTAAAGTAATAACGATTCTTCAGTGTGCTCTGTAAACGATTAAACGAGCTTCTTTTTTCCGCATATTAATGATATATATTTGCGTGACGCATAAATCTCTCTATATATATATATATATAAATAAATAGATATATTATATATATATATAAACGTATTCGATTGAAAAATTCTCCGCCCGGTTGTTTCGCCTGTCTATGGATGCAAACCCCCGGGGAAACCTTCGTTTCCTGGTTATCATTATAAACAAATGTACCTCTTGTCTTTCTTGCGTAGAGAAAATGGCGAAAGTGAAACGACAATGGCGAGGAAAGAGACGGAGAGGAACGCGACGGGAACGGGAACGGGAAATAGGGGTGGGAAACGAGGAAGACGAGGAATACCGATCGATCGGTATGATCAATGTGTATTTATCGTGTGTAGCGTAGTATATTAATGAAATATTGAGCGAGGAGGAGGGTGGCTTCGCTGCGTGAAACTGCGCTCCTGTGAATCTTTTCTTTTTCACTCTGTAAAACGGGAATTATTATATTAAAACTAGGGGATATTATTTCGAACGCGAAGACCGGTTCAACGAACTTGCCGCAAATCGAGCATTCCACGAGTGTGTTGACGACGGACGAGTTAAAAAACGGAGGATAAACTGAGGCGTTTCTAGCTAAGGGAAAAAAGAAAAAAAAAAGAAAAAAAATGAAGAGTGAAGATGAATGAATGCAATTATCGATCGACGGACCGTGCGGCGAAGCCGCGTCCGATCGATTGTGACTCAAATCGAAAAAAGAAAAAGAAAAAAAAAAGGAGAAATGTAAACGGTGTACGGAGAACAGAGAAAAAGAAATGATATATATAGTTCAATATATACATATATATACAAAAAATTATATATATATGGCGGATAATGTCGAAATATTTTCTAATGCGCGTCGCGTCTTTAGGCTATTATTACATTAATTGTAAGACATTGCAATTAATTGATATATGTATATGTAAGCATTCATTCGTATTTTTCGATGCAGTAAACAAGCAAAAAGGAAAAAAAGAATTATTATTGTCTTTATTATTGATTCATTAATTGACTATTATTATTATTATTATTATTATTATTATTATTATTATTATTATTGATTATTATTATTATTATCTATTAATTATTATTATTATTATTATTATATAAAAATTCAATAATAGTTGTTGGTGTAATATTATGAAATAAATCTTTAACGATAGCAAAAGAGAACCTTAATCACGAACTGATCTGTTCTTTCAGCCAATTTATCATCTTCCCTCTCTTGTCACCTTCGTTCCATCTGCCACGTCGACAAAGTTCCCGCGAGTTTGGCGAGTTTGCAATTTTCCTATACCGCGTAAACTTCATTATCAGCAACACTACGCCGCGGTCGAGACACAGGCCCCGGCGTCCGGTCGAGCGAAGAAAGGAACGAAATAAAAGGAATGAAAATTCCTGATGGATGATGTTAATTGCCGGGTTCCCCCGGATCGGAGCGTAGAAATAGAAAAACGGCCCACGCCGATAAATCGCCGATCAATAGGATCGCGCCGCGCGAGCTCGTGACGCAAATAAAGGGTGCAGCGTAACTAGAGATGGCAATTTATCTCCTGAGCCCTATTGTGAAACACGTAGGAAACACAACGCTCCTGAAATAGCAACCGCGTTTTATTTGCAGAAGAAACGGAAAATGAAATGCACTGTTGATTATGCACGGGAAGCAGAGGAGGGATTATTTACGAAAGCTCGTACTTCAGTTACACGTACATGCATATAGCAATTGCTGTTCGGTTCTAGTCTCTTGGTATATCTAAGTATTAAGCCCGGATTAATACCAGTATTTTTTAATCTTGGATCTCTTTTGCTTGAAAATTTCTTTGCCTCAATGCTTGGGCTAGTTTAAATAATGATTTTGCGGCACTAATATGAAAGAGAGACGGATTTCATTGTGAAATTTTATGAACAATATTATGCCGGTTGCATTTCTCAATATTACCAAATATTAAAACTTTCTATTATAAGTGATATATTATCGTTACGAAATCCCATATAAACAGCTATACTACTTTCTTTTATCATCAGATAATCCGATATCCGATAATCAGATATTCTTTTATAATCAGATAAAATTCAACTCTCAAAAAGTAGTATTCGCATGTATATATGTGTCTGATATTAAGGTCGATACAAAAATGAAATTATCGAAGACATTGATCTTGATGTTAACGTGTTCGAATATCGTAGAAATTAGGTGTCTCGTCGAGGTGTATTTTGCAAATAAGTACTATCGATCCTCGTTCGATGGTGTATCCCGTACATGACAATAAAATACGGGGAAGGACAACCTTGTGCGTGGGTGAATCGAGATAGGGGGAAATGAATATTTCATCTCTTAACAGGCAGCCAAGTGCAGCGTATTCCTCGTTGGTTTTCTCCGTCTTGGAATATTTTCGTAATTTTCATATTTCGTGAACGCTAACACACGCTGCTGACTGATTAAGTGCTCGCTTCTTAATTAGGAAGGACAACGCAGTCTCAAGCGTATCGTTTCTACTCGCTGGACTTTGTTCGTTAAGGGAAGAACCGCAAATTAAGCGTTCAGTTGACATCACTTTCATTTTGACGACGGTGGTTTCTAATTTCGAGGGATAAGATGCAGTGGAAAATTATTGTTTCAGTAGTGATATTAAGTAGTAATATTAGTGTCGAATTTGGTGAATCGAAATTTATTTTCCAGTTAGTTGTAAATATCGAAATTTTTATGAAAATATTTCAATTTTTTGGGGATTTTCAATTTAATATGATTTTATTACTAATCTCTCTATCACGAGGACAGCAATGTACAAAACAAAATTAGTTTTCTAAATTTTAGTAATCTGACGTAAGTTATTGTAGTCGTTTATAACCCAATGATAGTATTTGAGGGTTCATACAAAATATATGAAATAAGACTGCAATATACGAAATGAAATTAATTTTCCAAATTTTAGCAATTTAACGTAAATTGTCATAGTCATTTGTAACCCAATGATAGTATTTGAGGGTTCACACAAAATATAAGAAATATTATGCACGGTATTCCAGTAATCACGATACAATTGGCAAGGAGATGATTTTATACGGAAAAATTGTTAGAAAATTGTTAAAAGGTATATTTCAAATCCTACTTTTGCCAATTATTTTTTCACGTATCGTGAAATACCTGTATAATATTTTGAATACAGAATTGATCAATGCAGGTTCAAAGAAACCTATTATTAATATTCAATTAAAATATTTAACTTTAAAGCGGGAAACATATATTTAGTAAAAAATTAATATGAGTCATCTTTTGAACGTTCATGCACATTTGAGAAACTTGAGACTATGAAAATTCACAATACGCAAAAAATATTCAAAGTAAAGTACACACGTATTATAAATATTAGATGGAACAAATTCACTTCTTTAATTATATAATCATAAAGATATAAAATTGGAGAAACATCTGCAATTTAGCAATAACTGTTCCAACTGAATATCAAAGCTCAATAAAATAACGAGTAATTGAATAATATCATAGATCT